GTTATAATAATTTTCTTTAATAACAAGAATGTTGATTTTATGAGCAAGAATTCATCAAATGTATCAGCAATTTGCCAATAGGAAAATCATTAATTTATCTAATAAAGAGAATCGGGATTTGTTTACAGCCTTTTATTCAATTATTTAACTACAAGCTAGGGAGCATGCCGAACGTGATACTGCAATGCCTTAAATACAAGATCAACCAAGGTAGCATTTGACATCTACTGATCAATGTTCGACCATTAAAAAAAATTATGTGACTAAAACTAGATCATAGAACTTTTGTTTGATATGAAGGATGATCAATTAAATTGCTTTTGATGCATTCAACTGGAAGTACGTTTAAATTATTTGGGGAGGGGGGGTCCAAAAAGGTAAGTGCCTTTGGATATATAAACGTGTCACCAATTCATTTTTATTCCAACAAAAAACCATGCAATAAAAAGCCACAACAAAAGCAGTGTACGACGCATTCATCTATAAAATAACTACAACAAAGAGCCCATTGGAATCAACAATTTACATTCCACTTACAAGATTTTTCTGCTAGTAATTACAATATTCATTTAAGGACATCATATATTCTATTTGTCAATTAAACTTTAAGATTATTGAGATACATATGAAGCTCAAAGACTTCAATCCAATCAATGAATTAATCCTAAAGATGAACCAAAGAAATACACGTTTTGATATTAATTTTAAACCTTCTTATTTTCCCTTCACTACTGATTCATTTTATCCGTTTTCCTCAAGGAAACTAATTAGGGATTCTGAAATTCAACAGAAAGCAATAGATAGCACTAAAACTCAGCAACGAAAAAAAACAAAAACTTTAAATCCTGGTAGTAAATTTTCCAGACCAAAGTCACCCTGATAGATTTTAATCCAGTTTTAAAAGGAACTTGATAATCCAAAATACAATCCTTTCACATAATTGATCCATGTTGAAATCAACGAGAACATAATGAAAACAGAAGCGTATCTTGATCCATAAATTATAATTGATTTTGTTCGGGTTATGATCTTCCAACTGTTACGTGATTTCCTTTGAAATTCTTGAAAAACTCTCTATTGATGGGATGCAAAGAATCTAGAAAATTTCATGTGCAATTGGGGACCATGACCCCATGATAAATAACTACAGGTAGTTATCATCTTTCATTTGTTTTATATAGGCCCCTCATCAATTTAAAACAACCAATCGGTCTCTACACTTTAATCCCATAACACTTAATACCAATAAATCCAAAATTAAACCCAATGGATCACTTTAATGGATTAAAAACTTTAAGATAGCAACACACATTTTAATTTATATACATGTGTGGCCCCATATATGTTGGAATTTTCCAACAATCTCCCACTGGGCCATACATGTAATCTTTTAAATGTGCACAACCTTATGAGCTCAAAATTTGCTATCATAATTAAGAGTATTTGTAAACAATCTCGTCCATTAGTCATATAGATGTAGGATCAAAGTGATTTTCGTCACACTTAACGTGACTAAATCCATCAATGGTCACGTACACCCATACAACAAATGACATAGATCAATCATGGGAGCGTAGCATGAAAATTACATGTTCTGTGACCCAAATATGTCTATTTTCAACTGGTCCAACCTTATTTCTTAAGTGAGATCAATACTGACCATAATAATAGAGTGGAGTGAACTGAATACTTCATTTCTGTACAGAAAAATATCCAAATACACAAATATGTTCAGAATAAACATAAAGCAATGAAAATACAAACTCTCACTAAAACACGATATCCTCAATGAATCTGACACCCATACGAGCAGTGTGCTCATGAAAGACCTTGGGTGGTAATCCCTTAGTAAGCGGATACGCAATCATGGAGTTCGTCCCAATGAGCTCTATGGAAATTTGTCCACTCTGTACACTTTTCTTCACGACTAAGAATTTAATGTCAACGTGTTTTGACTTAGATGTGCTCATATTGTTGTTGGAATACAGAACTGCTGAGTTATTGTCACAATATGACATTATTGGTCTTTCTATGCCGTTCAGAATGCGCAGCCCAGTGACAAAATTTTGCAGCCATATTCCTTGGTTAGATGCCTCATAGCATGCCACAAACTCTGTGGCCATGGTAGAAGAAGCTATGAGTGTCTGCTTGGCACTCTTCCAAGAAATAGCTCCAGCTAGCAGATAGATATAGCTTGATGTGAATCTTCTACTTCTTGGCATCCAGCAAAATCAGAATCGAAGTACCCTATGATCTCCAACTGATCCAATCTGTTATATGTGAGCATGTAATCTTTTGTTCTCTTTAAATACCTCATAACCCTTTTGGCTGCTTTCCAATGATCCATTCCAGGGTTGTTTAAATATCTGTCTAGCATTCTAATAATAAATGCTATGTTTGGACGTGTACAAATTTGAGCATACATTACACTTCCAATAACTGATACATAGGGAATCTTCTGCATTTCCTTAACTTCAAGGTCATTTTGCAGGCATTGTTTGAGACTAAATTTGTCTCCCTTAGCGACAGGGGTGTCACCTAGTTTGCAGTCTTACACGCCAAACCTCTTAAGTACTTTATCGATATAGCTCTTTTGTGACAATCCAAGAATACCTCGAGAACGATCTCGGCGTATCTGAATCCCTAATACAAAAGAGGCATTACCAAGATCTTTCATCTCAAAATTCCTTGACAGAAATCTCTTGATTTCGTGCAACATGCCTATATCATTAGCAGCAAGTAGTATGTGATCAACATACAAAATCAGGAAAATATGCTTACTCCCACTGAACTTGTCCATACAATCATCAACAGCATTCATCTCAAAACCAAATGAGATAATTACTTGATGAAATTTGTGGTACCATTGACGGGAAACTTACTTGAGCCCATAGATGGATTTCTTTAATTTGTAAACCATATTCTTGGGGTCTCCAGACACTAAGTTTTCTGGTTGCACCATACAGATCATCTCGTAAATGTCACCATTGAGAAACTTTTTTTAACATCCATCTGATATAACTCAAGGTCAAAATGCGCAACAAGTGCCATAACTATCCTGAAAGAGACTTTCGTTGAAACTGGAGAGAAAGTCACATTACTTGATGAAATTTGTGGTACCATTGACGGGAAACTTACTTGAGCCCATAGATGGATTTCTTTAATTTGTAAACCATATTCTTGGGGTCTCCAGACACTAAGTTTTCTGGTTGCACCATACAGATCATCTCGTAAATGTCACCATTGAGAAACTTTTTTTAACATCCATCTGATATAACTCAAGGTCAAAATGCGCAACAAGTGCCATAACTATCCTGAAAGAGACTTTCGTTGAAACTGGAGAGAAAGTCACTTTGAAGTTGATGCCTTCCTTTAGCCACAAGACGAGCCTTATATCTTTCTACATTACCTTTCGAATCGCTTTTGGTTTTAAAAATTCATTTGCAACCGATGGGCTTCGCACCTTCTGGTAATGGGACAAGATCCCAAACCATATTATCTTGCATAGACTTATACTCCTCATTCATGGCATCAGTCCACTTTTGAGAGTTAGAACCCTGCATGGCCTGATGAAAATTGATTGGATCATCTTCCATCATTCCATTATTTTCCTCATGTTCTTGGAGAAATACTATAAAATCATCCTGAATAGCATTTGTCCTTTCTCTCGTGGATCTCCTTAATGACATTAGTTCTTGAGGTTGTTGAGTTTGCACTTTTGCAATAATTACCTCATTTTGGGTGCGAAGTTCTTCAACATTATCTTGTTGAGATTCTGGATATACTTCTTGATCAATGACAAGTATGGAAACTTGTACATTGTCAAAAGTAATAGTAGGAATCAAGATCGATCCTCCATCAACTTCTTCCTCAAAACAATGTCTCTAACCTTATTTCTCCCTCCAAACTCAACATCTTCAAAAAATGTTGCAGTTCCCATTTCAAAAATTGACATAAGTGTGGGATCATAAAATTTGTAGCCCCTAGATCGCTCAGAATAGCCAATAAAGTAGCTGCTTACTGTTTTGGAGTCCAATTTCTTTTCATGAGGCCCATAAGGCCTAGCCTCAGCTGGACATCCCCAAACGTGAAAATGCTTTAGACTAGACTTTTTGTCCGTCCAAAGCTCATAAGGTGTTTCAGCAACAGCCTTAGTTGGTACTCTATTCAGAATATAAGCTGCGGTCTTTAATGCCTCTCCCCAGAGTGATTTTGGTAAATTTGAATGACTAATCATACTCTGTATCATGTCCTTAAGAGTTCTATTTCGTCTTTCAGCTACACCATTCATGCTAGGCAATCCTGGCATGGTGTATTGTGGGACGATTCCACATTCCTCTAGGTATTTGGCAAATGGTCCCGGACATTGTTCACATGATCTGTCATATCTGTCGTAGTACTCACCACCACGATCAAATCTAACGCTCTTTATCCTTTTGTTGAGTTGATTTTCAACCTCAGTTTAAAAAAATTTGAACATGTCCAGTGACTCAGACTTTTTATGAATAAGATATAGGTACCCATAATGTGAGTAATCGTCTATGAATGATATAAAATATTGTTGACCATTCCAAGAAACTGTAGGAAATGGTTCACAAATATCAGTGTGTATCAATAGTAAGACATCCAAAGTTTTTTAGCACCTAATATCTTTGTTTTGGTCTGTTTTCCCTTGATACAATCAATACATATATCAAAATCCGTAAAGTCAAGGGAATCCAAAATACCATCTGACACAAGTCGTTCAACTCTAGCTTTTGATATGTGACCTAAGCGCTTGTGCCATAATTTTGCTGAATTTTGTTTATTTAATTTACGTTTAGTACCACGTGATTCCACATGCAAGGTTTCATTATATGATGCAATAATATCAAGCAAATATAGGTTATCATATGTAGATAACGAACCAGTACCGATAACATTTGAATTTAACAAAAGACTAAACTGATTGTTTCCAAATGAACAACAATAACTAAATTTGTCCAACGAAGAAACAGAAATTAAATTTTGTCTAAAAGACGGTACAACGAAAGTGTCTTTCAAATCCAAATAATAGCCAGTTCTTAATAACAACCTAAAAGTGCGTATTACATCAACTTCCACCGATTTGCCATCACCCACATAGATGTATCTTTCACCATCATTTGGCTTTCGGTAGTTCAGGCAGCCCTACATAGAAACACTTATATGAGTAGTAGCACCAGAATCTATCCACCAAGTGTTTCTAGGTATTGAAGCTAAATTATCCTCAGAATAGATCAAAGTAAGAATTGTACCTTTCTTTGCACGCCAATCGCGATATTTGGTACAATTATTCTTCACATGTCCAGTTTTGTTGTAAAAGAAACAAGTTCCTTTGTCTTTCTTCTTTTTCTTTTGTGCTGGACCCTTATGAGTAGCTTCATATTCCTTTCTCTTTTTCTTGCCCTTATCTTTAGAAGTTCTTGCCAAGTGAGCACTTTCAGTCCTTTCTTGTTTCAACCTTTTTTCCTCTTGCACACAATATGAAATGAGCTCATTTAGAGACCATTTCTCCTTCTGGCAATTATAACTGGTCTTAAATTGACTAAATTGTGCAGGAAGCGAAATCAATACCAAATGGACGAGCAAGTCATCAGACAGCTCGAGCTGTATTCCTTTAAGTTTTGAAGCAATGTGAGACATCTCCATGATGTACTTCCTTATGTTCCCCTTGCCTGTATACTTCAATGAAATCAAGCTCTGCAAAAGAGTGCTTGTTTCAGTCTTATCATTTTTCGCAAAATGCTTCTCAATTTCAGCAAGGAACTCCTTGGCATTAGATACCTCTTCGGTATCTGCACCTCTAAAGGCTTCCGAAATGCTGCGCTCAATGATTATTAGACTCATGCGATTTGAGCGATCCCACTTCTCAAAGTTCCTCTTTTCATGAGGTGAACTTTCTTCCGTAAGAGGAGTGGGTTGCTCGATCTGAAGAGCAAAGTCTAGATCCATGCAGCCAAGAAAAATCAACATGTTTCCAATCCTTGAAGTTTGTCCCATTAAGTATGAGAACAGAATTAATATTGGCCAATGTAGTAGCAGATGAGCTAGCTTTAGAGAGAACAAAAAAAAAAGATTAATTATAAATAATGGTAAGTCTCATCTCAAGATACCTAGTGAAACATCAATATCAAGTCTTTTGACAGTAATATTAATTACAAGTTGTACTCTCAGTGTAGTGATCAAACATTGACAATAACTCTTGTCAAATAATAAACCCAGCTTTGGATTGATTTATTATTCACATGGAAACCTTATAATTGTCAGACATTCATCACCACAAGTGTGTATGTAATTCGGCCAGATATTAACCTTCCTTTGGGCTGGCTAATTTCCGCATGAAAAGACACACACACAACATTCAAGCATCCTAAACAAACCAATCTACACAAAAGAGGTCACTTTGGTGACATATTTTTTCAATTAGTTTACTTAAAATGCTAGACAACCTTAATTTTTCATAAATGATTACCAAAATTTTGAATTAGATTGTCCCAAATAATTAAACCTTAATTAACACCTCTTAAAGAAGTATTAGTACGGAAATTTGAGAAAGAGAAACCCCAATTTGCATTAATAGATGCACCCCAATTTGCATTAATAGATGCCTATGGAAACTTTAGGGACCTTAGGGTTAATAATTCAATACTTTAGGGGTTAAAATTTTAAAAATTTTGAAACTTTAGGGGCCAATTTTAATTAATTATGAACATTGAGGGCTTTAATTGCAAAATTCAAAAGTTAAATGGCCCAAATTAATTAATTTTCAAACTTAGGGGGCTGAATTATTAAACTCGTAACTTAAAAGGCCCAATTGGATGAATTCTAAATCACAGGGGCTGAATCCTTAAATTTTAACCTAAATAAAAATTGCAAGAAGGTCGTCGGAATAACCCATATTGCAACTGAAGCCCCCGTCCCCAAAATCACCTAGAAATCCTTTTTTTTTTTTTTATCTCTTTCTCATTTACCCCGGCGTTGGCAGCTCCAAGGAGAAGCATCGTTAGCCCATGCCAGCGCTTTGCTGCCGCATTCATTGCAATTCCTCAATTCAAAATCCATCTTTCACTGCCCACCTAAACTTAAATTCCATAATTTCATGAAGGTTTTTTTTTTTTTTTTTTAACACACAGCAGATTCATCATGTATCACAAATGTTTTCATAACTTTCGAAAATCTGGGGAGTGGGAAGTGGGTCTCCTTTTTATCCATAGAAGATATACATAATCTAATATACACAGAAATGGAGTTTTCTTCTTGAGGAAATTTGATTCACATATATATAAAACAGAAGGAAGCTGTATGCCCAAAAAATTCCAAATATTTACGTGAAAGATAAATAACCCAAAATTTCAGAATTCTTTAAACCTGATATTCTAAAAGATTCAATAATGGAGAGGCTCTGATACCACTTGATAGAATTTAATCCAGTTTTGAGAGGAACTTGATAATCAAAAATAATTGATTCATGTTGAATTCAAAGAGAACATAATGAAAGAGGAAGCGTACCTTGATCCATAAATTGTAATTGATTTTGTTTGGGTTATGATCTTCCAACTTTACGTGATTTCCTTTGAAATTCTTGAAAAACTCTCTGTTGATGGGGATGCAGAGAATCTAGAAAATTTCACGTGTAGTTGGGGACCATGGCCCCATGATAAATAATTGCAGATAGTTATCATTTTTCATTTGTTTTAAATTGGCCCCTCATCAATTTAAAACAACCAACGGGTCTCTACACTTTAATCCCGTAACACTTAATACCAATAAATCCAAAATTAAACTCGATGGATCACTTTAATGGATTAAAAACTTTAAGATAGCAACACACATTTTAATTTATATACATGTGTGGCCCCATGTATGTTGGAATTTTCCAACACACCCTACAAAATTACTGTTGATTAACAGAAAGATAATTTTTTTAAAATAAATGCAAACACGAACAGAATCTTAACAAACTCAAACTCCCAATCATTGGCATAAATTTTATTGTTCAGACTCACTCTTCTTCAAAGTTATTGTCCATCAGTAGACAGTTAAATTTTTTTTATCTTTTTAAAGCCATCAACCAACAAAAAACAAAGATCTCGGGAGCACTTAGAAAATTTTGTAGATCCTTCAAGAAAGCTTATACGAAGAAGACTTCTGCCCTTATTTATATTGTTAAAACCTTTGGAAACAGGCCTTGATTATATTGAATTTACGAAACCAAACTCACCATAGAAAGTTACGGTCGATTAAATGAAAGATAATAATAATAATAAAGAATGCAAACACAAATAGAGATCTTAACAAACTCAAACTCTCAATCCTTGGCGTAAATTTTCCGGTTTAGACCCACTCTTTCTTCAAAGTTATAGTTCGCTAGCAGAAAGTTAATTCAAAAGGAAAAAACACCAACTGACAAAATACAAAGATCTCGAGAAAACTTACAAAATTTTGTAGATCCTTCAAGCAAGCCTTGTTGAAAGTAGTGTAAACTTGACCGAGGAAATTCTAGAAATAAGAAGAAGTTCCAAAATCATCAAGAAGCTTTAGAAGTATGAAGATAATGAATGCATGACTTAGTCAAAATTCAACTTGGTTAAGCAAAAGTTTTATTGGATAGAAGATTTTTTCATGGCTAAGGATAAGCTTATCATTGGCCGAGAGTTATTGAAAGAGTTGTTAACCATGTTGAACTCTTCTTCATTTTGAACTCTTCTTCTAGTAAAGGAGGTTGAAGAAAGTTACTTGATCATCTTGAACTCTTCTTAGCTTTTCTATAAATAGATATATTGGCATGTATTTTGAATTGCGGGTACAAGAGAAAATTCTATGTTTGTATAAGAGAGATTTTGAGAGAGAATTGTTCTATTGTACTAGTTATATATTGTGTGATTAATGAAAGTTTATTTATTTGAGTGAAAAAAGTGATATTTTATCACAACTTCTATCAAACAGTGGTATCAGAGTGAAGAAAGAATAAAAAAAAGAGTGATAAAATCTTTGTTTCTGGTTCGATATGGCCTCATCAACTAGTTTTTTCCAACCACAGGTCTCAAGACTAACAAAGGAGAATTATAAGAATTGGAGTATATAAATGAAAGTGCTCTTAGCATCACAAGACCTATGGGAAACGGTGGTAAAAAGGTTATACGGAACCTTCGTCTAATGCTGATGAAGATGCATTAAGTGCAACTGAAAAAGGCAACACTCAAGGAAGCAAGGAAGAAAGATACGAAGGCCGTGTATCTCATATACCAGACAATAGATGAATGAACTTTTGAGAAGATCGCTTTTATTACAAATACAAAAGAAGCATGGGATGTACTTCAAAATTCATTTCAAAGAAGTGAAAAGATTATGAGAATTCGTCTACAAATGCTGAAAAGCGAATTTGAAACATTTTAGATGCTTGATAACGAGTCAATCTTGGAGTATTTTGCTCGAGTCCTCACTATATTGAACAATATCAAGCACAATGGAGAAAAGATCAAAGATTTACAGGTAATAGAAAAAATCCTTCGTTCCCTAAATTCGAAGTTTGATAATGTAGTCATAGCAATTGATGGATCGAAAGATTTCAGTACTATGACTATTGATGAACTATTGGCTTCTCTAGAGATCCATGAGCAACGAATTAATAAAAAAAACTTCATCAAAATCTCTTGATCAAGCATTGCAATCATGGCTTTCTCTTTGAGAAAATAAAGAAGAAAAAGGAGTTTCACAACCAAGTCGAGGAAGGGGCTGATTTCAAAGAAGACGATGTTTTAATAATAAAGGAAGAAGAGGAAGATTTAACATCAACAGTGGACATGAAATTCAACAACAATTTTATCAAAGAGAAAGAGGACAATATAGACGTTTAGGTAGAGTATAAGAAAGACACAGAAATGGTTTAAATGATCAGATATGTGACAAAAGAAACATGCAGTGTTATAACTGTCATAAGTATGGACATTATGGCAATGAATGTCATGCAAAAATTGTTGAAGTTGAAGTCGGCAAGGATACAAACTTCGGTGAAACAAGTTATCCAAAATCACTGATATTGATCACTCATCATACAACAAAAGATAATGAAGATATATGGTTTTTGGATACAAGAGCAAGCAATCATATGTGTGGAAGAAAGCATATGTTCACGGAGCTTGATGAAACTCTGCATGTCCATGTCTCTTTTGGCAACCTCTCCAAAGTTCCAGTAAAAGGAAGAGTTAACATTTTAATCAAGCTCAATAACGATGGTAATAGTTATATTACTGATGTTTATCATGTGTTGGATATCAAGCATAATTTATTAAGTCTAGGATAGCTCCTAGAAAAGGGATATGACATTAGTTTAAAAAAACTGATAATCAAAGATGATTGTGGATATCCAATATCCAAAGTATGAAGGTCTAAAAAAAGAATGTTTTCTTTAAACATTCCTCATGACTCACCAAAATGTTTAAATGTCATTATAAATGACAAAAATTGGTTGTGGCACTTGAGACTTGGACATTTAGATTTTGAAAGATTAAGATTGTTGTCAAAGAAAAAAATGCAAAAGTGGTTGCCAAATATTGATCATCCAAACGAAGTTTGTGAAAGTTGTGTTCTTGGCAAGCATGCAAGAATTTTTTTGCAAGGAGGACAAATTTGAGAACAAAGAAGCTACTAGAGTTGGTCGATACAGATAAATGTGGTCTATTGAAGCCACTATCAAACGGACAAAATAGGTATTTTCTTATATTTATTGGTGATTATTGTAGAAAGACATGGGTATACTTTCTCAAAAGAAAGTCAGAGGTGTTGAATACATTCAAGGAATTCAAGTCCAGTGTTGAAAAATAAAGTGGTTATCACATAAAACTATTGGGTTCAAATTAAGGAGGAAAATATACCTCTGATGAATTTAAATGCTTTTTTTAATTTGAATGGCATCAAACAATAGTTCACACTAGCTTATATTCCCTAATTGAATGGCGTAGCTGAATGAAAGAATCGCACAATTCTTGATATGGCGAGAAGTACATTAAAAGATAAGAAATTACCTAAAGGATTTTGGGCCGACGCAATTTCAATTGCAATACATTTATTGAATTGGTGTCCTACCAAGTATGTTCGTGGAGTAACACCTGAAGAGGCATGGAGCACATATAATCCTAGTGCAAATCACCTTCGAGTGTTTGGATGTATAGCTTATGTAAAGGTCCCAGAAGCAAGAAGAACTAAACTTGATGACAAAGGGCAGAAATGTATCTTTATTGGCTATGGTGATAAGATAACGGGATACGAGTTATACAATCCCATCACAAAAGATATTATCATGTGTCAAGAAGTAACCTTTGAAGAGGATAAAGCTTGGAATTAGGAGAATGCTAAAGACGTTGAGCACCTTTGTTTAATTCTTGAGCAAGAAGAATTCCAACAATGTTAACCACCAAACAGTAGAGCAAACGGCACATAAATAGCTGCATCTAGCTCTCCTACAACATCAGAAGATTCATCATCTTCATCAAAATTATCCTCTAAAGAAAAGCCGAGAAAGATGAGAAGCTTGAGGGATATTTATGATGCTACTAAGCAACAAGGTGAACAATATGAATTGCTTTCTTTATTAGCCGACAGTGAACCACTTTCTTTCGATGAAATTTCAACAGATAAAAAATGGCAGAAAGTAATGGACAAAGAAATTAGTTTTATTGAGAAGAACGACACATGGAAACTCACGGAGTTACCTGAAGGAAAAAAGGCTATTGGAGTAAAATGGGTTTACAAAATTAAAAAGAATATACAAGGTGAGATTCAGAGGTACGAGGCAAGGTTGGTTGCAAAAAGGCTATTCTCAAAAAACGATAATTGATTATGGAGAAATATTTGTACCTATTGTGCGCATGAAGATAATTCGATTGTTGATTTCACTGGCTGCACAACACAAATAGAAGATTTATCAGCTTGATTTTAAGACAGCATTTTTAAATGGATATCTTGAAGAAGACATATATGTCAAGCAAACCACCAAGATGCGTACGAGAAGGTCAACTAAATAAAGTTTATAAATTGAAAAAAGTTCTTTATGTACTCAAGCAAGCCCCAAGCATGAAATAACCGTATAGACAATTACTTTAAAAAGAATAGCTTCATGCAATGTCCGTATAAACATGCAACATATGTAAAATGAGAACAAGATAGAGGTATACTCATTATCTGTTTATACATAGATGATTTGATTTTTATAGGCAACAATCCATCCATATTTGAAGTCATCAAAGAGAATATGATGAAAGAATTTAAGATGACTAATATTGGATTGATGGCACACTTTCTTGGGATTGAAGTTAAGCAACAAGAAGATTGGATTTTTATTTCTCAAAGTGCCTATGGAACATATAGTTTAAAGAAATTTGGAATGGAAAAATGTAATTTAATTACTATTCCAATTGAAAGCAAACTGAAACTACTCAAAAATGAAGATGGTGACGTCGATCCTACATATTTCAAGAGCTTAGTTGGAAGCCTTAAATATCTAACATGCACTAGACCAGATATACTATATGTGTAGGACTGATCAACAAATACAACGAGACACCGGATCAGTCCCATCTTAATGCAGCAAAAAGAATACTCCACTATTTTAAAGGTACTATCAATGAAGGCTTACTTTATACATTACCTAATGATTTTAAGCTCACTTGTTATTCAGGTAGTGATTGGGGAAGAAATATAGATGAAAGGAAAAGTACAACTGGATTTGTATATTTTATTGGAGAAACTGCATTCACATGGTAATCCAAAAAGAAACCAATTGTTACTTTATCTAACTGTGAAGCTAAGTACGTTGTTGCAAGTTCAGCTGTATTTCATGCTATCTGGTTGAGCAACATGTTGACATATTTTGGATTCCCTAAAGAAAATTCCACTGAGATTTATATTGATAACCTTTCAGCAATTGCACTTGCAAATCCATCATGAAATAAACAAACATATAGACACACATTTTCATTTTATCCGGGAACACATAAAAATGAAAGTGGAGTTGCTACCATGAAGAACAAATGATCAAGCAACTGACATTTTTACCAAGCCACTTAAACATGATGTGTTTACTAGACAGAAATTTATACTTAGATGGTCAAGTTTAAGGGGATGTTGAAAGTAATGTAAACTTGACCTAGGAATTTCTAGACAGAAGAAGTTTCAAAATCATCAAGAAGCTTTAGAAGTGTGAAGATGACGAATGTATGACTTAGTCAAAATTCAACTTGGTTAAGCAAAAGTTTTTATTGGATAGATGAATTTTTCATGGCTAAAGAAAAGCTCATTATTGGCCGAGAGTTATTGAAAGAGATACTTAACCATTTTGAACTATTCTTTCATTAAAGGAGGTGACAATTACTTATTCATTTTAAACTCTTCTTTTAGTAAAGGAGGTTGAAGAAAGTTACTTGATCACCTTGAATTCTTCTTAATTTTTCTATAAATAGATGTATTGGCATGTATTTTGAATTATTGGGTAGAAGAGAAAATTCTATATTTGTATAAGAAAATTTTTGAGAGAGAATTGCTCTTTTGTACTAGTTATATATTGTATGATTAATGAAAGTTTGTTTATTTGAGTGAAAAAGTAATATT